CTCTACGACATAATCTAATGGGGTAGATGATATATGGAAAAATAATTAGCATTTAAATGTTAGTAGAAATCACCAGTTGAGGAGATAATGTGCAAGAGGCCATAACATAGTCTAAAAATGGGGAATAGTTCAATTTTCAGCTGATGTGGGGGTTATCTTACTTGAAATAGTGGGAACAGGCATATAGTGGTAACTCAGGTTGGATTGCAGTGTTCAGGCCTTATTGTGTAAGCAATGCATGCAAAGATTCATGCTCAAAGATGTTTATTTTAGCACTATTTGCCTACTCTGAATTATTTATTGTGTGCTGTGTCATAATTTACTTTTATATCCATATTGACTCCATGCTATGTTGTGTTGCTTTTGCTTTAGACAGGTATCTTTTGAAGTGATTTAAAAATAAGAGAAAAATGTCTTTTTTTTTTTTTTTTTTTTTTTTTTTTTTTGGAGATGGAGTTTCGCTCTTGTTACCCAGGCTGGAGTGCAATGGCACGATCTTGGCTCACCGCAACCTCCGCCTCCTGGGTTCAGGCAATTCTCCTGCCTCAGCCTCCTGAGTAGCTGGGATTATAGGCATGTGCCACCATGCCCAGCTAATTTTTTGTATTTTTAGTAGAGACGGGGTTTCACCATGTTGACCGGGATGGTCTCGATCTCTTGACCTCGTGATCCACCCGCCTCGGCCTCCCAAAGTGCTGGGATTACAGGCTTGAGCCACCGTGCCCGGCCGAGAAAAATGTCTTTTATATATATCTTGAGTCTATTCATTTTTATAGATCTTTGTATAGGTACAAAATCTGTATAAACAAAGACAGTTCCAAGATACATTGGGTATCAAATTCCTTCTGCCTGAGAAACTACATTTTAACCTTTCTTATAATATAGGTTTGCTGGTAATAAGTTCATTCAGCTTTTGTTTGTTTGAAAAAAAGTCTTTATTTCTCCTTCATTTTTGAGACAGGGTTTTACTCTGTCACCCAAGCAATGGTGCAGTCTCAGTTCATTGCAACCTCTGCCTCTTGGGCTCAAGTGATCCTCCCACCTCAGACTCCCAAGTAGCTGGCACTATAGGCATGCACCACCATGCCCAGCCAATTTTTGTATTTTTTGTAGAGACAAGATTTTGCTATATTGCCTAGGCTGGTCTTAAACTCCTGGGCTCAAGCCAGTCTACCCGCCTCGACCTCCCTAAGTTCTGGGATTACAGGTGTGAGCCACTGCACCTGGCCTTTCTTGTACTTTAAAGCTATTGTCTTATTGTCTTCTGGCTTATATACTTCCTGAAGAGAAATCTGCTGTAATTCTTACCTTTTTTCTCCATATGTAATATGTTTTCCTCTCCTGCACCTGCCCCAGCTGCTTTCAAGATTTTGTCTTTGATTTTCTACAGTGTGAATATGATGTGTCTAGGTATCTTTGTGTAGGGTTTCCAGCTGGTGTTCTTTCAGTTTATTTATAGTTTGTCTGTGAAAAGTTCTCAGTATTTTTTATAAAAGTTCCCCAAGTATTTTTTCTGTCCCATTCTTCTTTCTTTTGGGATTCCTATTACCTATACACTAGACGGTTTGATACTGTCTCATACCTCTGTTTTCTGTCTTTCTCTTTCTTCCCTCCCTGTTGATCTATTTTCAGGTTCACCAATTCTTTCCTCAGCCTTGTTGCATCTATTTATGATCCTTTTGAAGGAATTCTTAATTTCGGTCATTGTGTTTTATTTCACGCATTTTCATGTGATTGAACGTCATTTCCATCTCTCTCGTTTTCCATCTGTCTGTTCATGCATGTTGTCTACCTTTTCCATTAGAATCTTTAACACGTTAGTCATAGTTATTTTAAATTTCCTGTCTGAACCTCTTGAGTCTGGTTGTATTCATTGCTTTCTCTTTTGATTTTTTTTGGAGTGGTTACTTTTTTGTGTCTTACCATTTTACGTTGAATGCCAGATACCATGTATAGGATAAGGGAAGAGGTAAATAGAATGCATGCCTGCAAATAGGCACAGCTCTTCTGCTAGGCTATTATTGTGAGAAGTTGAGTCAGTCTAGTCAGGAGTTGAGCTGGGTGTGGATTTTGTTGTTGCTGTGGTCTGTGTGCACCACTGACTTTAAATTCTTCTTATTACCTTGTGCTGGTTTTCTAAAGAGATTTTCTCAGTGGTCCTGCTCCATTAGCTTTTGGCCCTCCCTTTCTTCTTCTTCTTCTTCTTCTTCTTCTTTTTTTTTTTTTCGAGAGGGAGTTTTGCTCTTGTTGTCCAGGTTGGAGTGCATTGGTGCAGTCATCTCAGCTCACTGCAACTTCCACCTCCCAGGTTCAAGAGATTCTCCTGCCTCAGCCTCCCAAGTAGCTAGGATTACAGGTGTCCAGCACCACACCCAACTAATTTTTGTTTTTTTCCTGTATTTTTAGTTGAGATGGGATTTCACCACGCTGGCTAGGCTGGTCTCGAACTCCTGACCTCAGGTGATCCGCCCGCCTCGGCCTCCCAAAGTGCTGGGATTACAGGCATGAGCCACTGTGCCTTGCCTTGGCCTTTTTTTTTAATGCCTACTTTCAGAGAGAGAAGGTCTCTCTATGGCCTTGTCACACTCTCAGTAGTAGATTGCTCCTACTTGCCAGCCTAGGATAGGGGAGATAAAATAGAGGGTTCTGTGTTGTCTTGTCCAGCTTCAGTCTTAATCTCCTGAGTTCTCAGCAATGTGCTGTAATGGTCAGGGTCACAAAAGGTTTCCAGCCTCTCTCAGGGGTAAGGTTTTTTTTTTTTTCTTTTTCATTCCCCTAGCCTCAGTGGGTCTTTACCTGTACCCCAGGGGTGACAGGGTTTGCTGCTTTCTCCAGCAGTTGAAGGCTCTGTTTCTTAGGGGAGAAGGCTTTGGAAGGGCTTTCTAACTTTTCTCACAACAGTAGGCCATTCCCCTTCTCGAGGCGTTCCCTGGTGTCTCCTGCTCCTGTGAGTGCATGGTAGAGGTCCAGGGAAAAGATTTTGAGCAGGTGTGAACTCACCTGTGTCTGAATCTCCCAAAGGTTCAATATTCTCGTGCCAGTCCATATTTGTTTAAAATGGAGCTGAGTGCTTCCCTGTTTGTGTGGGTCTTTCTCCATGCTTTGCCATTAGTTAGCCAATGCTGCTGTTAACACTGTCTCTCCTTGGAGGTACCAGTTTTTCCTTAGATTTCAGGTTAGTTGGTTGCCCTGCAATCTTAGTTTTTTGATACATGTTTTTAAAAAGTTGCAATTTTGTAGATTGTCCAGAATTTCTCTTGTTGTTTGGATGGGAGTGAGGCTCTCTCCAGCTTTCTGCATTGTAGGTGGAGGCTAAAAAACATAAGTACAAATGTTACTGCAGTGAAGATTAGAAATTGTGCATCTTACACCATTTGGCATCTTAGATTGAGTAAAAGAAAGATGCTTTCGCGTGTATAATTAGGAAAAAAGACAATTTCAGAAAAAAATGAGTCTTGGGGATATGAATCTTTTTCAGATTTAGAATTTGTAGAAAAATTGACTAAAGAGAAAAATTTAGAAAAATGATAACTATATGAATTTGGATAATCGTAATTTTCCCTTATATCCGAGCACATTCAGTGAAGGAAGTCACTGATGCAGTATGCTTATTTAGTTATTAACCATTTGCATGCCATTTGATATTTCACTTTAAGAAAGTGTTCTTTTTCAGCACCTCGTGCTCCAACCAACTGGAGATTGGGCAAACTGCTTGGCCAAGGAGCCTTTGGAAGGGTCTACCTCTGTTATGATGTTGATACAGGAAGAGAACTGGCTGTTAAGCAAGTTCAGTTTGATCCTGATAGTCCTGAGACCAGCAAGGTAAAAATCACTGCACAAAGTACTTTGTCATATTATAAGAAGCTTAATTTATTATTATTTTTTAACGTTAAGCCCCTTCCGTTCTAAATAAGAAGCATTTTTTCTTTAAAAAAAAAGTTTTCTTTGGTATAAATTTTTTGTAAAATAAACAGATTAGATATGTTTATCTACTTTTTAGTATGGATTTTTCTTTATTAGTACTTCAGTTATATTCAGTGTTGCTTTAGCATACCATCAAGGACTGTTAAAAGTTATTGGTTAGAGACTGAGATGTTTATTACTTGGGAACTAAAATTTTCAGACTGAAATTACCTTGATGGTCTATCAAGTTAGAAGTTTTTTGCTTTTACTGACAGTATTGAAGACTTAACAATGAATTCTGCCTTTCAGGAAGTAAATGCACTTGAGTGTGAAATTCAGTTGCTGAAAAACTTGCTACATGAGCGAATTGTTCAGTATTATGGCTGTTTGAGGGATCCCCAGGAAAAAACACTTTCCATATTTATGGAATATATGCCAGGGGTAAGTTAGTACATCTTTTTGATTCTATTTAAAATTTTAGTCAATAAAAAAAAACAAGAAAAACTTAGATTATAAAATGTTAACCCTAGTTAAGGACACTTTGGAAGAGTTTTAAATTAGAGCTGGGTAATATTTGTTATCCTCTTTATCTGTCTTTGTATTTTTTAACTCATTAATGCAAAAGTATTCTAAAGTAGGTTACAGACATCTTAGTGTGGTCCATCCTCAGATTTCCTTAAATGCCCTAAAATGCCCATTATAGATGGTATATTCACACCAAGTTCCAGTCTAGGGCCATATATTACATTTAATTTTTATGCACCTTAATAATCTCTCTCTTTTTAAACAATTTTTATAATTCTTAAAAAAGAGCAAGAGAGACAAGGTCTCACTCTGTTGTCTAGGCTGGTTTCAAATTCCTGACCCAAGTGATTCTTCTGCCTTGGCCTCCCAAAGTGCTAGGATTACTATCTAGAGCAGTCAGTTTGTACATGATACAGATTTGACAAAGCGAGTAGGATAGTCTGTTAAGAGTCTTCGCTCTCAGGATCTGGAAGAATTTGCACAAAAGAAAAGTCTCATGGATTCTCTAATTGCATTCTTGTGGATTTGGGTTTGGTTGTGGGTTTTTTTTGTTTTAAATTTTTTATATTTTTAGTTATATGAAATTCTTCACAAATTTGCATGCCATCTTTGTTCAGGGGCCGTGTTAATCTTCTCTGTATCATTCTCATTTTAGTATATGTGCTGCTGAAATGAGCATGTGGATTTCAACTTGTTCCTTTACCCCTTTATTTACTATAAACTCCAAGTTAGAGCTAAAGTCTAAATTAGATTCATATTCAACCTTTTTTTATTTGATACATCACAGATGAAGCTATGTACTTTATGTTGCATCTTATCAGGAGTGCAATTTCTGGTTATTCTACTGTAGCAGTGCAAAGACTGACCATTAGATGAGCGTGACTGACAGATTGATGCCTGCATTGTAAAGTTTTGTTTTTTCCTGCAGACTGGAAAGTAATATGAGGTATAGCAGTGGAACATATCAATATCCAGTTTCTTTTCAACCATCCACCTAATATTTTTAGCACTGATGTATAGTCACTACTAGAGTCTCTAATTTCATTAGGAATTATAAAATGTGATTTGTGACATCTGTCATTACATGTATTTTATTTTTAAAATACAGTACATCTAGTATTAATGATTTTCAAGGTGGTGATTAATATGTTTACTCATTTAAAAATACATGCATTTCCATAATTTTTATTTATTTGTTTTTGAGACAGAGTTTTACTCCTGTTGCCCAGGCTGGAGTGCAGTGGCATGATCTCAGCTAACTGCAACCTTTGCCTCCTGGGTTCAAGCAGTTCTGCTTCAGCCTCCTGCGTAGCTGGGATTATAGGCATACACCATCACACCCAGCTAATTTTTTTTTGTTTTTAGTAGAGACAGGGTTTCACCATGACCTCAGGTGATCTGCCCACCTCAGCCTCCCAAAGTGCTAGGATCACAAGCATGAGCCACTGTGCCTGGTCATAATTTTTATTTTTTGAGGTGGAGTCTCACTTTGTTGCCCAGGAATGCAGTGGTGCGATATCAGTTCAGTGCAACCTCCACCTCCCAAATTCAGTCGATTCTCCTGTCTCAGCCTCTTGAGTAGTTGGGATTACAGGCATCCACTACCGTGCCTGGCTAATTTTCATATATTTAGTAGAGACAGGGTTTCACCACATTGGCCAAAGTGGCCTCGAACTCCTGACCTTAGGTGATCCACCCATCTCGGCCCTCCAAAATGCTGGGATTATAGGCATGAGCTGTCGCGCCCGGTCTGCATTTCCATAATTTAAAAGGTAGCATGTGTTAGCAAAAGAAATTTGATTTATGGTTCTTCATGGGGGTAGCTGATTAGAATTGTATGTAGAATGTACAAGGTTGCTATTTGAGCTTATGGATCAGTAAAACAGTCTGTGAACCAGTATCTGATAATAATGTTCTTGACCACCCTCAGTGTCCCACAGGAGTAAACTTGTTTCTTATTATTAAGAATAATTAATTGTTCATAGCAACACCATTGTCACTCATTGTTACCATTACTACTTCCTTGTTTATTTCAAAAAAAAAAAAAAAAAATTCTGTTGTCTATGTAAGTTAGTTTTTTAAAAAATCTTTTTGGGGAGATTTTAAAGACCATAAAAATATTGAAGCCGTTTGGTTTGGTAATCTTACAGAAATTATTCTACAGAAGTCATCCAAAGGAAAGGAAAAAAAATCTGTACTCATTTTAATACTATAAAAAAGTATTTGTATTTGGATAAGGACAGAAGAAACTTAGAAACTGAAACTGAAAATGTGTCTAAATGAGATTTTGATAGATTTTTCTCTCATTCAGTCTTGTTCTTAGACTTTCGTGAATCCCCAAGTTTGTGAGTGATGCTATCTGGATAATTTCATTAAATTTAGTGTGATGGTTCCCTTTTATGCCCTAGATTCAAATTCTGTCAAAATTGTTGTTCATTTTTCAGTTTTCCCAAACTTACACTAGCATTCCATTCCTTACTTATCTAGAACTGTTTAGACTTGAAATCATAGCTTTCTTTTATTTTCAATTCCTGGACTAGCAGTTGGCTTTTCTCTGTTTCTCTCTCTCTCTCTCTCTCTCTCTCTCTCTCTCTCTCTCTCTCTCTCTCTCTCTGTCTCTCTCTCTCTCTCTTTAGCTGGTACAGTGTTTCTCAGCTCATTTCACTTGTACACACTAAAGAAGTTAATATTTTTACACTGATAGAGCTATTAGCAGCCGTCGGCCACTGGCCCAGCAGTCCAGAGAATCCATAACTCTTGTCACTCATTTGCAACCTAAAGGTATTTTTTGGCCTATTTTTTGAAAGCTCAGCTTTACTGGAGTTATTCTTTATGTTGTTATTAATATTATTATTTTTTGAGAGGTAGGCTTGCTTTGTTGCCCAGGCTGAAGTGCAGTGACATGATCTCCGCTCACTGCAACCTCCATCTCCCGAGTTCAAGCAGTTCTCTTGCCTTAGCCTCCTGAGTAGCTGGGATTACAGGTGCCTGTCACCATGCCTGGCTAATTTTTGTATTTTTAGTAGACATGGGGCTTCACCATGTTGGCCAGGCTGGTCTTGAACTCCTGACCTCAGATGATCTGCCTTCCTCAGCCTCCCAAAGTGCTGGGATTACAGGCGAGGGCTACCATACCTGGCCTATTCTGTATAGTACTACAAGTAGAGACACATTAAGTAGACTGAACAAACAAGCCACGCTGAACTGTAGGTGTGAGTAGTTGACTGGGCACACTTGCTGCTTTCCATATGTGTCTTTGCACATTTGGGTCCACAGAATTGCAAGATACTCTCCCTCCAAAGATGGCTCATAAACAGTGGAAATGACAAATGGCTAAATCTGTAAAATCCAAGGATTTACTTTCATATGGCAGAGTACATCATTTACCAAAATTCAAGGAAAGGCAGAAACATTTGGATGTATTTTCTTGTCAAAAAGATCTGTTTCTCGGAAGCATTTTATTTCCATCTTTTAAAGGGATCATTAATCAAACTTGTACAGTGGAATCACTAGGGAAGCTTTTTCAAAATTCAAATACCTATTTCTCACTTCAGATTGATTCACCTTTCTCAGAGATGGCATCTTATCCTGCCCTAAAAAACACGTGAGAAAATCTGAAGTTCTCCTTTTGTATATGTTCTCATGTTTCGAACTCGAGTGTTAAGTATATAAAGAAATAACTTTAAAATCTCATATGTGTTCTTTCCAGTTATACCCACTTCCTTTCCTGAGAAAATCAGCAGATGTCAGTAAAACACTCTAAAAACAATAAGAACAAAATAAATAAAATTCAAGTAGGATATGCATAGATGAGTGTGATGAGAATTCCTGCCCTCTTTACTGATAAAGGTTTAATATCAGTTTTCATTTCAAACATATACAATAGTTTTTGTTGTTGTTTTCTTTTCTCCTAGGGTTCAATTAAGGACCAATTAAAAGCATATGGCGCTCTTACTGAGAATGTGACTAGGAAATACACCCGTCAGATTCTGGAGGGTGTCCATTATTTGCACAGTAATATGATTGTCCATAGAGATATCAAAGGTAAGTAATGAGGTGTTTTCTATTTTAAGTACACAGTTCTTTGTGAATGTGAATGAAGCAAGTGATGTGGATAAGACATTTAACATTGTTTTATCTATCTCTGAAATATAACAAGGAAACAGTTCTCTTGCTTTCTTGTGGACTCTGTCAGTGTTCTATCATACCTGTCCTATCTCAACAAATGGGTAGCTCCGCTGTGGGGGCTCACAGAATCAGTAAAATTTAAGAGACCGTACACGTGAGATCATGTTTTCATACATATTGCATAGGCGTCAGGATAGATTGGCTAAGAGCAGGGGCCCTGCTGCCAGATGGCCTGATTCCAGTTTAGGCTTTATCCGTATTGTGTGGCCTTAGACAAGTTACCCAATCCCTCAGTTCCTCATTCTTAAGTGATAGAGAAAATAGTATCCAGCTCATAGAATTCTTAAAAGGATTAAATGAGTTAGTGCATGCAGTATGCCTAAAATAGTGTCTGATACCTAGAAAGCACTTAAAAATTAGCTATTATGACATACTTTATCTTGAGATCAAATTTAAACTCAGGGGAATGGATGTCACTACCCCCCTAGGGACAGAATGAAGAGATGAAGAGAAGGGAAGAAAAGAGCCCCAAACTAAGCTTTGATGAACCCCAACTCTGTGAAACTGACTTTCAAACTAAAAAACTCAACTGTTTCCAGGGGTAAAGGATGTAGGTAAATTTGTGAAGTCACACAAAAGCAACTGGTCGGGGTATGTACAATTTAAGAATGCTTCAAACTCTGTACTACAAAACATACCTGGAGGTTTGATTCTGTAAAGGTAGGCTTCGACCCCAAATTTAGACATCACGTTATAAATCAATCAATAAAAATAGTAAATAGCCAGCATGATAGTGCACGCCCTGTAGTCCAGCTACCTGAGAGACTGAGGCAGGAGGATTGCTTGAACCCAGGAGTTGAAGTCCAGCCTGGGTAAGGTAGCAAAACCCCATCTGTTTATTTATTAATAAACAGTCATGTGCTACATAATGATGTTCCATGTCATTATGGACCACATATACAACAGTGGCTGTATTATATAGACTAGGTATGTAGTAGGCAATACCATTTAGGTTTGTGTAAATACACTTTGTGATGTTTGCACAATGACAAAATTGCCTAACAGTACATTTTTCAGAATGCATTCCCATCATTAAGCAATGTATTACTGTAAATATGTATGTGTGCACATGTGTATTTGTGTGTATAAAGATACTATTCATTGGTCTTGCTGGGTACTCTTAGGAGCTCCCAGGCTTTCACTTCCTCTTTGAGGTGTGGCACATCCTAATTATGGCCATATTCAGACCAAGGAGAACATTCCTAATCGGTTCCTGGTGATGGAGTAGAATGCAGAATGCCTAACCAGATCACATATACTAGAATGGGACGTATAGTAAGGCTGAAAAGATGGGGACATTGCTCATGATCTGCCCATCTTAGGCAGACCTCAGTTGTGTTAAGTACGAAACCGGATAGCTTAAAGAACCTTATAGAGAAGTTATTCAGTTAGGAGTAATGTCCATTCAAGCCAGCTTCTTGTTAGCCCTCATAATGAGGCAAGGCAAAGAAGCTGAGGGAGTTACCGCCTGAGTGGATCTGCTTCAAACTT